TCGCAGCACAGAAATGGCGTTCTCTCTTCTTTTGTTTCTGAGTTTGATTTTCTGTGTTATTGTGATGCTAAGCCCCTACTTGGCTTCCGCGGCGGCGGCGGCGAGCGGGGACAGCGAATTGGTGAGCTGGATGATGCCGGCGGGAGGTGCAGGGGCATGGTGGAGTGCCTGTCGGAGGCGGAGGAGCTGAAGATGGAGAACAAATCGAGCCGGCGCATATTAGCCACCACGTGGTACATCAGCTACGGTGAGATCTCTATCTATCTTGTTGGCCGAATGCTTTCACCTGATATCATCAAGACTTTAATGGGCGATGACTTCGCTGCAGACTTCTCAAAGGTAGAATTCTCCACTATGTTTTCATGTTTCTTGTATGAGCCTAGTGCATTGTAGAAAATAGATGGTATAGGAGGTCTCATGAATTTTGACTTGTCCATTCTGGTCAAATATAATTTTGACTCTATATAAAGATGGGAGTTAGATTAGTGGACAGTATTTGGTCACATTCTCCCAGCTAACAATTCTGGTGGGATTTAATTGCACATTAACAATTATAAAAACAAAAGAATAACCCATTGGTTATAAAAACTAGTTTATCCACTGTACTGAATAGAAAATGCTTTATTTTGTTTTATGTTCAGCTGTAAAGTTTGATAGGATGTGTACTGAATCTTTGACATTTGCTAAATGAGAAAGATTGATTGTAATTGGGTCTCTCAAATAGAATTAATATTTCTTTGCATCTGCAATGGTGTATTTAAAGCTCTATGTTCAACAAGACAACAACATGTGTTGACATAAGAGTTACCATGTGTAGAAGCATCAACTAGAATTTTCCTAGAAACTTCTGGATTTTGAATCTTTGCTAAGGAGTAGGATTTCCTAGCGAGTATACTTCCATAAAGAAAATGTTGGTTATGTTTTGTACTTTGTTAAATATTCTCTGGTTTGTCTATTCTTCTAAATCCCTGATGACCAGGTTTGCATTCGCGAACAAGACAATGAAATGTCAAGAAAGTTAATGGGCTTGCTTAGGAAGTACCATCAAAGTGATCAATCATATTATCAAATTATGTCACCTTGTGAGGCAAGGTGAACAACCCAGAGAAGGTTTTTTCCTACTCTATCATCTAGTTGAGTCCCATGTTTCCAAGCTTTTGTGTTGTGATGCCATTCACTAATTGTTGCTAAGTTGTGGCATAATTTCCATCTTATCAGGGCATTTTTATCTGCCTTTTTCAATTGGCAATCATCACATTCACTAATTGTTGCTAAGTTGTGGCATAATTTCCATCTTATCAGGGCGTTTTTATCTGCCTTTTCAATTGGCAATCATCACAGAGTCAGGTGTTTCGTCCAGTTATGGTCCTTGATCCTTCGCTGAAAAAGAAGTGAAAGTGGGAGTCAATGATGCACTCGGGATCAAAGCCGTGAGGTTCTGCGTCTGTCTGGATGGAAGGAATATTAGGTAGCTATACACTTGCTTTGATGCCTGGAGAACAAACAAGAGTCAAGAAGGGAAAGGGGGGCAAAAGAAAAGTAAAATGACCATCTTTGCCTTTCATAATTCTGTGTTTAAAAATGTTGAGTTATATCTTCTTTTTTTAAAGATTATGTGTATTGCTATATTTGGCACCATTTCTAATGATGTAACACTTCACGATGTTATACTTTTGTTTTTGTTATTGACATTGAATTTTTTAATATAATATATTTTGTAATTATAGTATTGAAGTATTATATTATAAATTTAATACAGGTATGTAATATTTTGATTAATCGATAGATTTTAAAAAAAAAAAATTAAAATTTAGCGACGGGCAAAAATTGTAGTAAATTTGTAGCTAAATACAATAAAGAACGACGAAATTTTTTATTGCTAAATTTAGCGACGGAATTTTCCGTCGTTATTCCCTAACAAATTTGGTCATTCGAACGTCGCGGAAAGGAAATTTGCGACGGATATTTTTAAGTTTAGCGACAGAAAATTCCGTCACTAAATTCCCCACCATTAGTTGGACATACTAAATAATCAATTTTTGGTTCCAATTAAAGTCCAACTAAATAATGAAGATATAATTCCCACCATAGTTGGACATACTAAAAAAAACAAAATACATCTTCCAAAACCAAGTTAGAATTTGGCTCAAAAGATACATTTTAGTATTATTGGAATCCAAAAGATGTATGTCAAATCACGTAACTTACTACAGTTAGTCCGAAGAACCGAGCAAGATTCGTGGATCAATTAATAGAAGTGACTAAATTTTGGGAAGTGACTGAAAAACATGTTTTGCCAATGCAAATCATGAAACTTAGAATTATAATTGAACTAAATTTATAAATTCTAAGAATTGTGATAAAATTATTATCTAATGGGTTAAGGGATTTATTGACATAAAAACTTGCCTGTGGGCTAAAGTTTTAATTCTATTAAATCCAATTAAACCCTTATGATAATATTCTATCTCAATTACTAAAGAGCCAGAAGAATCTAGTGACATAAAACTTGCTTGTGGGCTAAAGTTTTACTCAATTAGATCCAACTGAAAAACGTTATTTATGATGAAACCATTATCAAATGAGTTGAAGAATCAAATGACATAAAACCTGCCTGTAGGCTAAAGTTTTAGTCAATAAGATTCATTGCTATCATTATGATAAAAAACTTAAGAGATCATGTTCCATTTCTTAATCCCTGTGGGCAAATTAAGAAATATGACCTAAATTTACATCATAAAATTAAACTTCATGATAGAATTGGAAATTATTTATAAATAACCATAAAGTAAATAAATTGATTTATTTCTATCGTCACTGATAAAACTACTAAACTACATTCCGATACATAATTGCCTGTGGGCTAAATTATGACCGTAGTCCAGTATTTCATCCTGATTAATTATAAAAATATAACGAAATTGCCTGTGGGCTAAATTTCATCATATTACATACAATTAATCACAAATGATATGTCCAAAACTTTATGTGATCAAAATAAACCACTTAATATATAATTTTAACAGATTAAGGATGTTGTGGCTACTCCCAAACCAAATTAAAATTATAAGATCACTAGACAATTATCAAATCCTTGCATAAACTTTATGTGATTAAAACTTAATAATCTTAGGTAGCTGAACATGCTGTAGCATTTCCTTAATTAACCAAGATTGAAAACTCAAGATATTTCAGTAAATTAAAGATGCTTTGGCTATTCTTTAATAAACCGAAATAAAATCACATTGGCAAGAAATACTTAAAATTTTGACAAATAGATTATACCAGATTGTGATGGGAAAATCTAAATATACTCCAAGGAAAGGCGGTTAGAGACTAAGTCTCACTGAAAACCAATTCCTTAAATAAAGTATCAATTTAAGGAGACTAATGGCACAAGATGTTCTTAATTCATGGCCATTAAAACTAGTATGCCTCACCGATTCATATATACTTAATGTATAACTGTTTGGGGTATAAACCAGTAAACTGTATGGTATACACCAGAAAACTGTGGGGTTCACCTATGATTAAAGCTTAAATGGTGAACTAAAAGTAGCGGACTAAACGTGCTTAAATTCAGGCACTACCGCAACTAAAGTTTATGCATAAGTCCAACTTAAATAGGAACTAATATAATTCCATCTCAAAGTATGCATTGCTAAAGGCATAATAAAATTGCATAATTTAAAACATAATATTATGCTTAGGACGAATATGCATAAAATTAAACATTAAACTCATATATTCTAAATAAAATGCATAACTTAAAGCAAATTTACAATATGAGATTTTAAAGTATAAACTTAATATTCAAACACCGATGAGTCCAAACCAAAAGAGACCCAACATTTTGAATAATAATGTACTGAATATATAGTTTAAAATTTTTAAACTATAAGCCCATGGTAAAATGTTTTAATGCATGAAGATCAAATTCATGAGAAATAACTGAATTTACAAATTCAAACAATATCAAACCAAAAGGATATGCTATCATTTGTAAATGAAAATGTCATAAACCCTAATTGCATAATTAAACTTAATATTATGCACTTAATGTGATCGAATGCATAAAACAATCTAAAGAGTATGAACCAACTAAAGAATATGAATTTAAACTAAATATTCATTTATTCATATACTTAACCAAATATGGGCAATCATAATTCAAAGAACTAAATGAATTATGGAATTAATGGCAAAAGTCATTTGCCTAGAAAATATGTTTTTTTTTTCCAAAATTACTAAATTGATTCAAAATCACTCTCCATAATCCAGTTGATAATATTATTATTATTAATGGCAAAATTGCAAATAATCAAAATAGCAATAAATAGCCATAATAATATTATCACATTAAGTAGGAGACTAAATATGGAAAAACAATGGTTAAAACCTCTAACACTTATAAATGTTTTCAGATAAAATTTTAAAAAATTTAATAAAATTTGAAGTCCGAAAAACATTAATTCAAGAAAACTATTTTCTTAACTGGAATATTGTCACATAAATTTATTTGAAAACAATTCAAGATACATATCTGAATACCATAACAATATTAGTGTCATCATTAATTAATTATTAATAGTAATAAGTAACATTATAATCACTATTAACATTAATAATAATGACAAATCAAAGTATGGTAATGCACCTTTTAATGTTTCCATTTTCCTAAGGGGGCGTTTGGTTCACGGAATCTTAGATTACCCAGGTAATAGGATTACCTCCAGGAAAGTAATGTGAGATGTTGGGAATGTAAGATTACCTTGTGTGTTTGGTTTGGATAGTGTAATATAATATTACCTTGTTTGGTTCAAGGTTATATTTTAGGTTATATGGATCAATTTACAATAATGTCCTCAATAATATATATATATATATATATATATATATATATATGTATGTATATATGTATAATGTGTGTTATTTATTTATATGTATGAATGTAATCGATGCTTAAATATTAAAAAAATTAAATATATAAATATACACATATATATTTGATTATATAAACATATATTAATTATTATTATTATTATTATTATTATTATTATTATTATTATTATTATTATTATTATTATTATATAAGGATTAGTTAACAAGGGCAAAGTTGGAATAATGCAAGGTAATCTAAGATTACCTAAAAAATTGGAGGTAATCACATTACCTTGAAACATTACCGCCACATCAGCTTTCAGGTAATATAACATTACCAGGTAATCTTATAACTTGAACCAAACAAGGTAATATAACATTACCAGACTCAGATTACCTAGATAATCTAAGATGACCTGAACCAAACGCCCCCTAAAGATAAAATATGCAGCTAGTCCAAATTAGCGGTTAACTGTAACTGTAGCACTAATTATCAATAATAACCATAGAAGATAATTAATGGCTAACATTAATGATGCAAACCGCATCTGCCCATTGCGCTAACAACGATGACGATCCACAAGAGAAGAAAAGACTCCAGAATTCTCCCAATCTTCACTATCGGTGTCAATAAACTCGATGCAGCGTCCAATGGTACGTTAAAAAATTTATTGGTAGGACTTAATTACCAACATTAATAGTCATGTAAAATGAAGTGGTAATCATGCCAATGTACCAAATATAGCAGATTACCATTAGATTATAATTATTATGAAAAGTAATAAAATGAGATTAGCCCCTAAACTTAATAACAGTAATTAATAATGCTAATTAATAATAATTACAATAAAGGAAAAATTTTAATTAAGGGATGCCAAATACTAATCTCAATTTTACCACATAATAATTAACCATGACTATTATGATACTTAGGGAGACTAAAGTTAAGGTAATAACCAAATTACCATTATATAGACAATATACCAACTATATTGCTTTTGCCATAAAATTAAAGACTTAATATTATTATTAAGGCCCTGAAAAACTATTGATAGATTAAAAATTTAATCGAACTTAAAAAATAGTTATAGTTCTTAATGGCCAAAATAACAATTAAATCCTTAATGTCTCTAAACAGGCCAAAACGATAATTATAGCACTTAATCACTCAAATTAGGCACATAAACCTCAATGACCCAAGTGAATTATAACATGAATAAAAAA